TGAACCTGTGTGTGTCCTTAGGTTTAGGTTGTATCTCTTATAAGCAGCATATAGATGAGTCATTTTAAAATCCTGTCTTCCATTCTGTGCCTTTAATTGACACTTTCGGTCCACTTACATCCGCTGAAATGGAAAAGAAGTTACTGCTTCATCCACTTTGCTACGTGATCTTTTTGTGTGTGTCTGAAGCCTTCTTTGTCTTTTAGCACTGCTTCCCCTTTTGTTCTCTTGGCTTATTGTATTGAATCTTTTGGGCTCCCTTTCTCTTCCTCTTTCTATGTATATTATATCTATTTTCTTAACGATTTCCATGAACATTACATTTAAGAGCCTGCACTTGTATCATTTGGAGTAAGTTAGTATCAATTTTATCTTTAGTAATAGACGAGGAATTCTCTGTTCTATAGCATTCTATTCCCTTTCTTTTATTGTTATCACTAATTACTTCTTTATATTTCATGTGTCCTAAAACATAATTTTATCCTCTTGTTGCTATTATGTGTGACTGGATTGCCTGTGACTCATAGTGACCCTGTGTACAGCATCTCTGAAGCCTGTCCTATCCTGAGCCAATCTCACTGGCTTTGACACACCAACCTCCATTACCCCAGTTACTGTATCAAACCATTTCATCTGAGGTTTCCCCTCCTGCACTGTCCCTTCACCCTTCTGAGCATTGATGTCCTTCTCTAAGGACTGGTCCCTCCTGGCCACATGCCCAAAGCATGTAAGACGGAGCTTCAAAATCCTAGCCTCGAAGGAGAAACTTGGTTTCACCCTCTATAAGAAAGACTTCTCTTGGTGATCCATGATATGCTCAGCACTCTTCTCCATCACTATAACTCAAAGGCATTGATTCTTCTTCTGTCTTCCTTAGCAAGTAATTGCAAAGACCATGGCCTGCATCAGGCGCATCTTAGTCTCTAGACTGACATAGTTGCTTCTCAGTACTCTGGAAAGGTCCATGACAACAGATTTTCCCAGTGCAATTCATCTTTCGATTTCCTGACTTCTGGTGCCAAGAGTGCTGATTGTGGAGCTGAGTAAGCTGTAACTGTTAACAGCCTCAATCTCTTCTCCATCTATCATGGTGCTGCCACTTAGCCCTGGGGGGAGAATCTTTGTTTTCTTGATGTTGAATTAGAATCCTTATTGAAGACAACGATCCTTGACCCTCTATAGCAAGGTCCTCCTCAGTTTCAGCAGCAAGGTTGTGTTATCTGCACCCACTGGGCCAATTGGCATCCAGCGAAACTGTATAGAGGTTGGACTCAGGGACCTGTGGATGTAGGTAGAAAACCAAAGGCAGGATGATTGGACCGCACCCAGTGATTGACTGCCTTGAGAGAAGAAGAGCTAGTGAGGTCGAACCCTTTGGTCCCAGTCTAACTCATTGTATTTGCAATCTCGTGGTGTCTCCACTCATAACACATCAGGCCACTCGCTGTGTGCAGTGGGGCTTGTGTTGATGTGTTTGTCTAAAGGCTGGGTGTCTGACTTTGCTGCTGGTCTCAACCCTGCTTAGCATTCCCAGGGGCCAGGAAGTATGAAAATGTGCTTCAGCAGTTTTACTCCAGCCTGTGATTACACGGTCTGCTGGAATAGTCATTGGGGCTCAAAGGTGCCTTTTAAAATCCCGAAACACTCCTCTATGAGTGTTTGCCTTCACTCTGTCTCACTCAGCATCAGGCCTATGAAAAAAGATCTTCCTGAGATTTGGGTACCATTTTCAAGTTGAGAATGAGTGTGTGTTGTGTGTGTATACACGTACACCCACATGAGAGAGAGAGTGAAAGACAGAGAGGCATAAACAGAGAGACAGAGAAAGGATGGGATGGGATGGATGGGAGACAGGAGAGCAAAGTAAGAAAGAGTGCTGGAAATATACAAAAACAGACAAACATACACAGAGAGACAGAGTGGAAGGGAGAGAGAGGAGAGAGAAATACTGAGAGACTGAGGGAAAAGAAAAACGGACAGAAATAGGAGGGAAAGGCATGGAGACAGAAGGCAGGGGAGACAGAGACAGAAGATAGAGGCACAGAAAGATGATGCAGGGAGGGAGGGGGAGAAGGAGAAGGAGAGAGAGGGGGAAAGGGAAGGGGAGGGGGGGAGAGAGAAACTGAAGAACACAGATGCACAGAAGGGCTTGGACTGTCTGTGTCAGCACACCCAGGGCTGATAGAGGCGGGGTGAGGAGAGAAGGGGTAGAGAAGGTCCTCCTCCCCCAGGATGTTCTCCCGGAGTTGCTGGCAGCTCTCTCCCCTTGGAGTGAGGAGACTTGCCAGTCCTCCCTCCTCTTCCTTGTCCCCACCTCTTGGCATTCCCGGTGCATTCTTCCTCTCTCCGGCTGGCCTGCCGCACAGGTGTGCCCTGGGGCGAGCCGGAACAATGCTGCCCTTTGTGGGCGCTGACCTTGCTGCCAGCTTATCAAAACCCCACATTCTGGGCACCACAGGCAGGGAGACCAAGTCTGCAGTTCAACCCTCCATGCCCTTTGCTTCACTTTAAGAGCAAAGAAGGACCATGGACTAGGCAGGGGTCCCCTGCTCCAGGACCCAGAACATACCCCAGAGAGTTGCCTCACCTAGTCTTGTCTTCTGAGAGGAGGATCGTCTGTAGAAGAGGGATTGGTGAGACCTAGAGAATGGGGGAGTCTTGACAAGGCATTGTGGGTCTCCCCTTTAGGCAGGAAGGAGAGGAACAGTAGAGCTTTAGACTGTCACCCTAGACACTGCCTCCTTACCCATGAGACCAGAAGAGCAGATGGCTGTCCAGCAATGCTGAGCATTTAGATCATAGGGTCTGTAGAAGAATCCTGGTCAAAATGGGGAAGATGTGGCACAGAGTTCAAATCCTCATGAGGTTTAGACTTTCTGGAGCCACGGAGACCCTGATGATCCTCTGAGACTGTCCCCTGGAGGAAATCTTTAACCTTAAAGCAAAGCTATTCTCTGCAGAAGTCTTTGAACCAAATAAGAATAAATACATATGTCGTAGAAAAAGAGTAGCCAGAGTGCTCCTTGGAGGCAAAGATGGTGAAGCTTCATCTCTCATAGTTTGGACATGTAGCTAGGCGAGGCTGTTCCTTGGAAAGGGACATCATGCTTGGAAAGATGGACGGTCAGCGAAGGAGAGGAAGACTCCTCACAAGATAGAGTGACACTGTGACTCCAGCAATGGTGTGTCAGAGATGATGGGGACGGCACAGGAGAGGGCAGGGTTCAGGTCGGCTGTCTAAATGGCATAGTTAGCAAAGGGTGCCTGCCTTAAGCATTACACTTTAATAACGGTTATATGTGATCACATTGACAATAGCCACTTGGAAGGGATAGATGAGAAAATTATGGGGACCATGAGCTTGGGGTGATAGTGACAATTTGGAAAAGCTTGTTGAGAAAGGTGTCTCAATTTGAAGAAAGTAGCTAATGCCACTGAACTGTGTGTGCAGACATTGTTGGTGCGTGAGGTGTTTTTTTTTTTTTTGTGGTTTTGTTGAGTAAATAAGGGAGGAAGAAGCTGGAGAGAGACAGAAAGAAAGACAGACAGAGAGAGAGGCGGAAGCTAGAGAGGGTCCAAACCAGGCTTTGAGAGAAGAGAACCCCATCCCAAGATAGAGACTGCAGCTTTAATACAGAAAACAAATGTCCTGAACTTTGGGGCTTGGCAGAAAGAAAGGAGTATTGAAAGCTTGAAGCCATAAGGGCTAAAAGGCTGCTGGATCTCCCGTCTCTGCGTTCTCTACACACCCTTGGGCTGTTACACCTGCTCCAGCAGCTTCCCTTGCGTCTGATTTACAATCAGAAGGGCACCTTTCTCATCAGAGACCTGAACCCGTCCATCCGCTGGGCCTTCTGACTGAGCCACAGCACCCTGCTGCCCTCGCCTCTGTGTGTGGGAGCCACACTCACATCCGGGCACTTAGCCTGCTGATGGACTTGTATTGATTTCTCTGCTGCTACCTTTCCTTCCTCCCAGCCTGCACATGCTCCTTTGCCTGGCTGAGCCTGCTGTCTCCTGCCTTGACTTCACCTTCCTGCCACAGGAGCTCTTGAGAAAACGGGGCAATTGTACCTTCTTGGACTCTGAGCAGTGTCATCAGACCTCACTGTTCCCCTCTGGGCCTCAGTTTCTCCACCTGTAAGACATCCGCCAGGTTCTTCTGTTGTTATTGTGTACCAATAACTGACCCTGTTTTCAGAGCCTGTAAAGTGCACAGGAGTGGGTTGCCCATCTTTCTTCTGTGTATTTGAACCACATACCTTTAGGTTGGCAGCATGATTTCTTATCACTAAGCCAACAGAAGGTTCTTCTGGCCCTGGTTGTTAAGTTTTATTGCCATGAAAGTAAACCTGTCTGTGAAATGTGCGCTTTTCCCCTCCAAAGTACCTGATTTGGGATGTTGTCTGTAGGTGTTTCAACAGAGTAGAGTAGCGAACCCCACACTTCGAGACTAGACGTGACCAGAGAAGGGGAATGGCACTTCTGACTCATGATGTTGCTTTGTGTCCACAGGCACCTTAAATTCTTCAGGATGGGCTCTCCTCTGCACCCATTAACGTCCCTGAGCAACTGGCAGGGTGGACGTCACCTGTGTTTAAAAGTTGACCAGGGAGGCCTAGCAGAGTGACGTCTTCCCAGAGAGATCATATCCGTAGTCCCTGGAGATGAATGCAAATTAGCAGGAAGAGCACCAGTCTGGGCTGGGTAATCTGACTTTGAGGAAGTCATTAAATTCCCTGGGCCCCAATTTCCTGTCTGTGAAGTGGCACTAAGTAATAATTTCAGGGCCACACAAAATAATGCAGGGGAAAGCGGCTTGCAAGTGGCCGGCAGCACTTATTTGCTCTCACTGTTAGTGGCAGCGCTGGGAGCAAGAGCAGACTCGCCTCCCTTTGTCTTAGAAAACAGTCCCCACACCTATCGAAGAGCTCAGCCCAGGTCCCTAGGCCCCTAAGTGCAGCCAGGTCCCTAAGCCCCTTTGGTTCTTTCCCTTGCAGACTGTAAGTTCACCTGCCACCCGGAGTGCCGTCGCCTGATCCAGCTGGACTGCAGTCAGCAGGGAGGCCCCACCCGGGACAGACCCTCTCCGGAGAGCACCCTCACCCCCACCTTCCACCAGGTAGGCGGCCACATTCTCGAGCCAGGCTGGAAACAGCCTCTGCAGGTGCCCTGAGCACTGGGAGCAGGAGGTGACACGACACTGTGTGTCCTTGCAGGGATGAAAGGACAGTTCATTTACTGGGTGTTGGAGGCCCCTCAGGCCTCTCTCAAGGCATAAACCTAAACATTTCCAAGGCATTGTGCGGTGAAAGGCAATAAGTGACCTGGAGACTGCTGTGGTCACTCAGAAGTCCACTGTGGTTCTCACTAAAGACAAAGCCCATGGCTGTTGAACCAGAGCGGGGTGCTAGGTGGGGGGTTCTGGAGAAGACTCCTAAAGGTTTTTTGATGCTGTGAGATCCTGACCAGGATTAACCCTGGGTCTGTGTGGATGATGGGACCCAGGCTTCTGCAGCCCAGGGCCCTGCCTGCTGGTTGGCTGCCAGGACAGAGCAGCTTCTGAGCAGCTGGGCGCATGCTCTGTGCTTCCTTTAAATAAGCGCCCAAAGCTGCTCTAGGTTCTGAGATTTGCTGAGACAGTTGATTGTCATGTATTTAAACTCTGATGTCCAGGGTCTGGAATCGAGACAGGGAAGTTCATTTACTGATTCTGATACTGGATAAAACTGTTTTTGTTTTCCTATGTGCCAGACAGGTGTGGTGGAAGGAATGGATCAATAATATATCACCGATCTTTGTCCTAAGAGGGGTTTATTCTAGTTAGGGAGGCATACTGTAGCCAGCTGATGTGACCCATGTTGCTGTAAACCTGTGAGCCAAGTATTCTGGATATACAGAGCAAGTGTTTCTGCAGAGAGCAGCTAGGGAGGGCTTCCCAGAGGAGGTGATGTTTGCACCAGGCCTTCATGTGTGAGTTGAAGGTTGCCATTTAAGGAAGTAATGAGTGTTTCATGATTCTATTAATTTAACACCTATCTTTTGGTCACTCATCATGTGTCAGGTCCAGGCATGCTGGGGACTTAGTGATGAAAGGACAGACCTGAGACCTGCCTTCCTGGGTTTGCAGTAGAAAAAGAGAGCAAGACTAAACAAAAAAGCACCGTGTTTATGAGGGATGATTCCAGGGTGCTGTGAGAGGCAATGATGGGTACCCCCAGATGCCGGGTGACTGGTTATTTCCTAAACAGAACCAGCCTGAGGTCCCCTGGATAGCCACTCACATGGATTTTCTAGTCACAGTGTGTTGATCAACGACACTTGGATCCTTCGTCTGCCTGCAGGTGTAGCCAGCCCTCCTGCTGCACCTTGGGCACTTTCCTTGCTCCTGGAAAGCACTTACGATGCACGCCTTCTTAAGAATATCAACTTGGTTCTAACATAAATATTTTTAATGTTGGACATCTTTCTGTTTTTGAGCAGAAGCTGGTATGGGTATAATCTGGGGTACCCAGACCTCTTGGGGAGACTTCAATCTTAACTGGAAGCTATGCAGGGGAGGTTGGGGGCTGGGGAAGGAGAGGACCTTATCCACGAGTGGGGCCGACTTCTGCTGTGGCTCTCTTAGAACGTGGAGAAAGGGGTTACATAGCACACTACACATCAAAACTTTTGGAAAAATCTGGTTTATAACAGATTTGTTTATTTTCCCAGTTTTCCTTCTCTTTTGTGAGCAGCCAAACTTCCCTCTCTCTTCTTGCTCCCTCAGCTCTATCTGTTCCCCATCCTTGGAGTCCTGTTCCCCTATTTCTCCCTGCATCTGCCCTTTGAGTCTGTCTCTCTGCCTGCCGCCTTCTAAAACAGTAGGTCTCGACTAAAGGTGGTTTGGCCCCTGATGGGACATTTGGCATTGGAGTATTTAGAGAGACTTTTCTGTGTCATCTGGGAGGATGTCCCTGGCATTTACTGGAGAGAAACCAACGATGCTTTCTGCGTGCTAAGCATCCTACGATCTACAGGGCAGACTCATAATGAAGAATTATCCATAGTGTTAAAACACTAGTGGTGTCGACAAGGGGGTACCTTGTCTTCAATGGGTCCAGCCCACTCCCCAGTGTGAGGGGGGAAAGGTCCCAGGGCAAGTGTGGGGTTTGCTGTATACAGTGTCTCACATGCGGAATACTAGTAGTGAGGAGGGATAGTATGAGTTGAATCTAAGAGAGTTACTGTTGTTCTTATGTGCCATCAGGTTGGAACCAGCTAGTTTAACCGACCCTACGGCAAGTTTCCAGAGGCTAGAAATCACTCGGGGGGAGCCTGCCCATCTCTCTCCCACGGAGAAGCTGCTGGATTCAAACTGTGTGCCTTTGGGTCGCCAGCATCGCTCCTTACCCACTGTGCCAGCAGAGCTCCCTAAATGGAAGAGGGGCCCCTGCAAAGACATGTTTAGATTTTCGTCGCCACTTCCTATGAACATGAACATGATCTTGTTTAGAAATGGGTCTTTGATGTTATCAGCTAGCAAGATAATGCTTGTGGTATCAGGTTGATTCCAAACCATGTGTCAGAGCAGAACTGGATTCAGTGGAGTTTCTAAGGTTCTGATCTTTCTGAACTTGAACGTGAGGTACCTCTGACCTTGACCGCCAACCTTGCCACTATCTGCAGCCATTTATTTAACGGTCTACACCATGCAGGGACTTTTGAATGGACTAGGTTGGTTCTTAATTTGATACTTATGGTATCCTTAGAGAGTGAGACAGCAGACATAGGGCAGCCAGCCGTGTGAAGACCAGTGAGAGACCATTGGCTTAGCTTTCAGTCTGAGCTCCCTTGTGGTAATGGCCCAGGAAAATGAACCCCAAGTGCTTTTAGGTCTGGGCATTTGGATGTCCACACCCTGGTGTGAACTCCTGGAGAGAGGAGCCCACGGGGAATCCAGGCAGGCAGGGTTAGAGCTGTCTAGAGCAGAAGCTCCATGACGTACCCCAGAGGGACGAAGGATCTCAGCCGTGCGGGTGCTGAGCACCCTGGTTTGCTCTCTCGGCTGACTTTTGTGTTTACCTTGGCTCAGCATGGCCGCATGCTTTAGCAGAACCTGCCACCGAGCTTCTATCAATAAAACCCTGGCCCCGGGCCAGCAATGCCTTCTCTGAAAAGCTTGTTTGTGCTCATTTCTGCCTTGCCTGGATTTTCTTCTGTACATTGGTGTGGGGCTTTCTCTTACCTTGACATCATCACCGGGGCAGGACTAACCATTTTCTTTGGGGTGGATGGGAAGAGGGACCAGGGTCAGAGCCTAGCTAGCTTCGGAGTATAGGACTGCTAGGAGGGTCTTAGCTTCCTAGTGCAGAGGTAACAAGAAATATTACAGGTGGATGGATGACTCTAAGAACAGAAACCTGCTTACCTATAGTTCTGGAGGCTACAAGTTCAAATCAGATCATTGACTCTAGGAGAGGGTGTTCCTTAGCATTCTTTTTCTTATAAACTTTTATTTATAGATTATTGTTCCCAATTGGTCTCTTCCCTTGTGTGGGCGTGTAGGTGTCTGTGTCTCTCTGTGTGTATGTGTGTCTGTGTCTAAGTGTATGTCCATGTATGTATGTATGTATGCATGTGTCTGTATCTATGTGTGTGTACATGTGTCCATACGTGTCTGCATATATGTGTGTGTCTGTGTATATATGTATGTATGTATGTCTCTCTTCAGCTCTTTATATAAAACAGCCTTCAGAAGGAATTGAGTTTGGGGTTCACCACACTCCAGCATGACCTCGTTAACATATCAGACAAAAGTTCCTGTACCAGAGTCTTAGTCACAGAGCAGAGGTGCTAGTCAGTCTTGGGGGGCTCCGGTGGTGTAGTTCTGAGGGAGTTGCACTGTTAACCCAAAGGCCACTCCTCTCCTGCAGTTTGAGTCCATCATCCACTCCACGGGATAAAGAGGAACAGCCACCTTCAGTGTGACTTACAGCCTCCAAAAGCCTGTTGGATAGTCAGCTATGAGTCAACAATGCAGTTGAGAGATTAAATTCCCAAGGAGCCCTGGCGGCATAGCATGTTGTTAACTAGAAAGTTCTGCCTTTCAAATCCTCCATCTGCTCTGAGGGAGAAAGATGAGCAATCTCCTTCTTGTAATAATTTATCATCGTGGGTCCTTATGGGTCAGGCTCGACTTACCAGCAGTTTTAGTCAATCCTTGACAGGAGCCTGAACTTTATGGCTTTTCTCCCCTCTGCTCTTTGGTTTTTGTCATTGTTATGTACCGTCAAGTTGCCTGCAACTCTACAACAGCTCTGAAGCCTGCCCTGGCCTGAGCCAGTCTCAGTGATGCCAACATACCTAATCCCATTGCCCCTGTTCCTGTGCCAATCCATCTCATCTGGGGTCTTCCTCTCCTGTGCTGTTCCTCCACCCTTCCGAGCAGATGTCCTTCTCCAAGGACCAGTCCCTCCTGGCCACGTGCCCAAAGTATGTGAGACAGAGCTTCAAAATCCTTGCCTCCAAGGAGAAACTTGGTTTCACCCTCTCCAAGACAGACCTATTTGTTCTTCTAGCGGTCCATAGTATGTTCAGTGCTTTTCTCCAGGACCACAACTCAAAGGCATCAATTCCTTTTCTTTTATCCTTAGTTATTATCTAACTCTCTGATGCATAGCATGTAATAGTGAAGTCCATGGCCTGGATCAGGCTCACCTTAGTCTCTAGACTAACATCATTGTTCCTCAGCACTCTGGAGAGGTCCCTGACGGCAGATTTCCCCAATGAGATTGGTCTTTTGATTTCCTGACTGCTGGTGCCAAGAGTGTTGATAGTGGGGCTAAGAAAGCTGAAATTGTTAACCACCCCAATCTCCTCTCTATCTATCATGGTGTTGCCAACTGGCCCAGTGGTGAGAATCTTTGTCTTGATGTTAAGTTTCAATCCATATTGAAGACTACAGTCCTTGACCTTTTGCAATAAACACCTCAGGTCCTCCTCAGTTTCAGCAACCAAATTTATATCATCTGCATAATGCAGGTTGTTGATAAGTCTTCTCTTTAGGGGAAATGAAATGATTGCTAACTCCTCCTTTCAGAGGTAACCAGTATTTCACTAACACCTTTTTCATATTTTTTT